GAGAGACAGACAGAGGGAAGACAACCCTGTGATGCTACCACAAGCGAAAGAATGCCTGGGGTTACCAGAGGCAGGGAGACACATGAAACGATCTTCCTCTACAGTGTTTGGAGAGAACATATTGCATTCAGACTACTAGTCTCCAGAAATGTGAAACGAATTTCTGCTCTTTAAAGCCACCCAATTTGTGGTTCTTTGTTACAGCAGCCCTAAGAAACTAATACAGTTGGATATTTTTTTTCCCACGGGCCTGTATTCAGATACTGTTATGGCTCTAGGTCAAGGTGTCTCAACCTCGGTACTATTGACATTTGGGACAGAGGAGTCTGGGTTGGGGGAGGCTGTCCTGTGCATGGCAGCGTATTTAGTAGCCTCCCTGGCCTCTGCCGGTAGATGCCAGTAGCATCCCCTCAGTGGTAACGACCAATAATATCTCCTGACATTACCACCTGTTCCCTGGGAAGCAAAAATCACTTCCAGTTGAGAACCATGGCTGTAGAAAAATCGTGTAACCTCTCTGGGGGGCTTCAGATTTTTCACTATGAGGGGGTAAAGGTGACATTCATAGCAGTGGAATCAGAGAAGACTATATAAGAAGCGATACAGATAAAATTAAATATCTATTTAGAAAAAATAATTTGGATTCAATGCCACCTTATACTGAAAAATAAATTTCAAATTCTCTAGGGTTCTAAATTTAAGAAAAAATGTAAGAATATGGAAATATATATAAAAAATATTTTTTTATAACTTTGAGGTAAGGAAGACCTGTCAAAGAAAAACAGAAAACCCAGAAGCTGAAAATGAAAACATCAAGAGATTCAACTCCATAACATTTTAACATTTCTGTATGATTAAATAATCCTAAAAGGAGGGGAGGGGGACGATAAGCCAAAAGGGATTTTCTGAGGAGAAGGGAAAATATTTGCAACATATATATCAAACTGAAGATGAATAGCCATAAAAAATAAAAGGCCCAATTAAATCTTTAAATTTAAAGAAAAATAGAAAACAGGCTAGTAATTTTAAAAGGCAATTTAGGAAGGAAAATCAAATGGCCAAAATGCATTAAATATGTCATTATAATTCATTATAACTCAGGAAAATGCAAATTAAAACTACAATGAGATATTCTGATCCTATTAGACTGGGAAAATTAAAAAGGTTTATGAAGTGCAGAATTGGCAAAGGAAGGCGTGGAGAAAGAGTCATGCTCAAGCCCTATTATGAAGAGTTATGTTGGTTCAATCTTTCTGGGGGCAGTTTAGCAGTAGCTGTCAAAATGTAGACTGTGCATAATCTCTCACCAGGAGTTGACAACTATAAACCTATCCTAGATAAGTACTCTTCCTTGAATAGAACATTCTCAGATACAGATTCACTCAGAAGGCCAGCCAAGTTCAGTTTAAAATAGAAGTCAAGGCAGGACCATGACCAGGCAGAGGGTGGCATATCCACCAGATGTGGCCAAGTGGTTGGCATCCCTCTAATCCTCCCACCTTCTGGCCAATAGGCGCTAAATGAACATTTCATTACACCAAGAGATAATCAGGTGATTTTCACAGAAATCAGCACAATGCAATCATTTACAGGGAAGGCGATCCCTAAGACATGGCGCAGGACCAGGCAATGTTTCGTTCTGTTGTACATAGGGTCACTGTGAGTCGGAACCGACTTGACGTCACCTAACAACAACCTGAGGAGCTTATTTATAGGTTCCCAAATTACCTGAGAAACCAATGATAAATTCCTTCATAACTAAGAAAGTTGCTTGCTGAATGTAGAAATAAAGCAAGGGAGGGGGGTGATGGACAGAGGGGTACTGATCCAGCCTGTGGAGCAGCCTGAGGATTCACTCTTTTCCAACAGAAATTTCTCATTTTGTGAAGGAATCATTGTGTTCCCCAGGTTAATGCCTACAACTTTATTAGTCTAATTCCTTCCCCATTTCTGTTATATCTAAAATGTCTTTAACTCTCATAAATGGCCTCAAAACAAAATTTATTTTCATTCACTTTAATTAAAAAGATACATATGTGCATTCCCTAAAATAACTTTCTGGAGATATATGTTATGAAACCAAACCAAAAATATTAGAGTTATAGATCTCAGACTTGTTGAGAATCACCAATCTATGGACCAGATAGCAGAATTCAAAATATGTGAATGGAATTACAAGATTTAGTCATCCTTGAGCCATAGCCGGGCTCTAAGGTAGACTAGCAATATCTCTCACTGTGTGGTTCTTAGGTTGCGTACGCTGTGTCCATGGAGCCCAAAAGTTCTGTGGATGGGCTCCCTTGAAAAAAATATGAAATTTTGTGTAGATTTGCATATGTACATTTTTCAGAGAAGAGGGTTTACAGTTTTCATCAGCTTCTGCAAAGATTATATAACTCAGAAATGTTTAAGAACACTTGTATGAACACTGATCTGTAGTCTGTGTGTTCTGAAACCAAAAACAGATTGGAAAAAATACTTTCAGCTCATGCATACCACCTGGGAAATGTTTTTTCATTGTTTAATTAGTTAAGTTTTGAAAGGAATCATTTCCCGTATCCAAATAGAGTCAGTCCTTAATAGTTGGATCCCATCAAGGCTGGTGTTATTTTTCTACATGTCATGGTTCAAAGAAAAAGCAAAAGCAACTCAGGAAGCAGATTTTAGGTGAGCTTTACTGAGCACCTTGCGTAATGGGTGGAAATTTCTGAAGCTGATCTTGACAGCTATTTCTCTCCTCCTTCTTTCCTTCAGGTTATGTAATGTTTCCACTTTTACAGTTTGTTTTCTTTCTTACTCTTGTTTTACTGTTTTTATTTTGTCCTGTTTTATTTTTGTTTTTTAGCTGTTTCCATTTTTACAGTTTTTACACACTGTGTATCTATGAATAGGGACACATGATATTTTATTTATTTTTTTTAAAAAAGTTTGTCCTTCCCCTTTCTCCTAGTTGACCTGTTGCCTTGCTGTAACTTGATATTAACTGATTTATAGATTGTGAACACTAGGGGAGAGCATTTTCTTAATTTCAAGTTGTCCCAAAAAACCCACTGCCGTCGAGTCAATTCCTACTCATAGCAACCTTATAGAACAGAGTAGAACTGCTCTGCAGGGTCTGCAAGCCTGTAAATCTTTACTGAAGCAGACTGCCACGTCTTTCTCCCACAGAATGGCTAGTGAGTTCAAACCGCCAACTTTTCGCTTAGGGGCTGAGCACTTTAACCACTGCGCCACAAGGGCTCCTTACTTCAAGATGTCAGAGGACTTTAAATCCTCCTGTTTTAAAAGCACATTTTAAAGTTTCTTGACAGAAACCTCTCAAGATAAACAACCCCAAGTTGAAGGTCACGTTGGCACATTTGGGTCCCTTACCTCTCTTGATAATGCCTCTGATGTTTTCCACGGGCTGGGGTTGCTAAGGTGATAAGGGCATTGTTAATATTCTGCAGTGAATAAGAACTGTGTTTCTTTAACATTGGTTCAAAATGTAGCTCTTTGAGCTGGCCTTGGGATGTCGCTTTGTCTTCTTCCAAAACACTAGTTGTGAACTCATAAAGTTACTCAAGAATCTGACGGCCAAAATTGGATGCTATCTTCTCTGCATTGTGCTTGGTACCCAAGGAGGTCACAGCTGCTGAAGGCTGAAAATAAAGGGAAAGTCATTCTACTACCAAAAACATAAGACTCTTCCTAATCAGCTTATTGCTATCAACTCTCTCATTACTAAATCTACATAATATTCACAAGTATATTAATCCAATGTGGAAATTGAGATCCTACTTGAACATATCAGAGCAAACGTGAGTAGATTATAGTTCCCAAATTTGTAATGAAATCATCGAGAATTGTTCTGAATTTTAAATCCAGGAGAGAACTTTTAAAAAAGACAGTTCACAGAGATTGAGAGCATTGTTTTCTGGTAGTAGGTTAAGTTTCATCCCTGAATGGGGAAGAGTGCATTGGAATGTTCGTTTTGTTCCATGTGGTGAAACTATCAAACAGCAAATTTAAAATATCTGAATTTTAGTTCTGGCCTTGCCACAATCTAGCTAAATAATACTGGGCAAGTCATTTAACACATTTTCACATTTACTAACATGAAAGCACCAAATGAGATATTCTTCTCTTCTGGCTATAGCATTTTAAAATCCTAAAATGTCAACAGTGGGAGCCAAAGTTCTTTCCTAGAATTTTTTTTTCTTTTCCCTGACTTCAGAGTGAGCTCTGGGGAACTGAGGACAAACGTCTCTGCAGAGTGTTTGACAAGTTCTGCCTCAGCTCCTCTAATTAGGTCAAATCCCATGTATGATAGGCACACATCAAAACAACAATGGTGGGAATGTTCCATTTAGTCCGGATAAGAACCTCAGGGTTAACTCATCACACTTGTCCAGCCAGCCCGGAGTGGGTGAGGCTGAGTCACGCGGGCAGGTACTTTCTTAAAAGACTCACCATTCCAGTTTCAGCTTCAACTCTTTTACAAACCGCACTCCAAGTCTGCCAATTGGCATGGCTGCTTTTACTCAGTTCTGAAGAGCTGAAGTAAACAGTAGAGACATATTTTACTTTAAATGATAATTTTTCTTAAATTCTAACACATTCTTTACTGAAAATGGGAATAAGTCTACCCACCTGGCTTGTTCAAGTATTACTAGACTTAAGAATTGCTCACATGTCCACACAGCCAATGAACTGGGATGTTTAGTTCATGAAAATAGGCAACAACTCACTATTTTAGATTTGCCGATGATTTAATTACCAGAAATCGATCTAATCAATCTCTCAGCAATTAACTACTGATTAAAACTCAAAATAAAACTTTGTACATCTCTATTTAGTTGAACTAGATAGAAGTGGCCTTAATCATAGAAGATCCATTTTCTTCTAATTAATATTCTCACTCATCACTAAAAATAGAAAGTGTCCTTAAAATTGTTGATGTTTTAAATAAAAATACTTGTCACTACGTTGATCTTCAACCAAAGGACAGTGATTATTGAAGCCTCAGAATGTAACTACAGAAACTTGTAATATTTTCTGCAGACTCTATATCTTGGTACCTACCAAAGAAAGGCAAAATCTTAAACAAAACAAAAGGATGCCACCTATGGTCCTGATTATTTGGTGATGAGGAACAGGGGGGTTATGGGCTGTATTACATGGGCAGAACTCCAGATTGCATCAGAGAAAGTTCTACACACCTGGAAGTTGAAGGATTAGTGACTTCATGTTATATGAGGGAGGAGCAGGAGGAGCCAGATGGTATTGGGACACCCTAAGCAGTGTTTTCAGCCTACCTTGTGTTCTTCCATTCCTATCAACTAAGCGTGCTTAATTTACTTCCTAATTTGTAGAAGGAATTACAGGTGGAAAATATATGAAAGAGTTTTTAAACCAACAGATCCTTCTTCTCACTTTAGAATTCGTGATTATATTGTCAGGAAAAAATAAATGCAGATGTTGGACCATGTCAGAAATCTTTTCAAGAGAATGGATTGTTTCACACAGAACGGAGATGTGGCTTCTGATTCTGGTGGCGTATTTGTTCCAAAGAAATGTGAATTCAGGACGTTTGCCAACTAAAGCTGTGGACCCGGAAGCATTCATGAATATTGTAAGTTGAAATTTTCCATAATGTTTTGGGAAAATTAAGTGCCTTTACATTTTAACGTTTGCATCTGTGTATTATCTGCATCATGTATTATATTTCTATATGTGGTGATTTATGCTAGCACGACATAGTGAGAAAGTAGCATACTATACTAGAAAGAATGCTAAACTTGGTGTCTGTAGACCCAATTCTCCTCTAACAAATTCAGTAAACTCAGGCAATTAACCTAATCCCTTTGGACCTCAAACATAATGGAACTTTTCCTGAACTCTTAGGTTCATCCTATAACAGAGAACTCATGGAGATCTTTTGGGCCAAGCCCAGACCCTTATTATTGTGTCCATTTTGTTTGTGCTTTTTTTTCTTTTCCTACTTTCTCGCTTATTGTCGATGAGTCAGCCCTCACTTCTTGCAATCAGGGCACCCACTTCTAGTTGCATCCTGTACCATTCTAATCTACTCATTTTATCCTGTTCTGGACTGGTAACTCTGTAGAGTAGCAATAAAAGGACCTTGAGTGAGTGCTAGAGAGAGTCTCCTGTGAGTAAAATGCATGAATGATGTGACATCTCTTTAGGTCTCCCAGACATTTTTGGGTGAAAGGGACTTACTTTCAGATTCTTAACTGGGTTTTAATAATGGCTGTCATATATTAACACTTATTCCATACCAGTCTTAGTGCTGAAAGCTGTACAGATACTATTTCATTTCATGATCACTGCCCCATGCAGTAGATACGCTTATTCCCATTTTTCAAATCAAGGAACTGAGAACTAAAGAGGTTAAGCAACTTAAACTAGGTCACGCTACTGGTATATGGTGGAGCTACAATTTAAATCCAGACCTGCTTGAACACAAAGCCCATTAATTGTAACTATTAACCAATAAACCCTCCCGGGTGAGAAGGAAGAGAGACTACATCCAGATGAGTAAGATGATTGTGTGCTTTGTTCATGCTCCATAGACTTATCTAATACCTCTACAATTCTAGCAAGCCATGTAAATATGCTGAATCTACAGGATAACCAATATCAGGTTTCTTTTGACCATTTCAATCATTGATTGTCTTTTGATAGTTTGTCTAGATAGTTAACAGATGGGTGCAGATCCTTAGGAGCCACCCTTCTGGCCCTGAAAAAATCCCACGCAAATTATTCTGGGTTCATGGGTGGAGAGAATCTCTTCAGCTGCAGACATAGCCAATCTCCTGAACCCCACCCACTGGGTGTGCTGAGCACCCACACACTGTTGGGGTTTCAGGAGCCTTAAGACTAAAACCACTGAACTGGGCTCTGCTACTTAGTAGCCCTGGTGGCACAGTGGTTAAGAGCTCAACTGCTAATCAAAAGGTCAGCAGTTCGAATCCACCAGCCACTCCTTGGAAACTCTATGGGGCAGTTCCACTCTATCCTATAGGATCGCTGTGAGTCGGAATCAATTTGATGGCAACGGGTTATTGAGCAGCTATGCCTAGAGAGACAAAGTAAACACGAAATTTATATAATTCTTGGTGTAAAGTCAACAAAATAGAATAAAAGTGGTTCAGAGTCTGAATTGATTTGACTCTGTATACCGAGTTACATGAACTATAGTCTAGCATATATTTAGGTATACAATTGGTTTCATTCATGTATTTTTCTAGTAGTTGCCATTGAATCAATTCTGACTCATAGCGACTCTATAGGACAGAGTACAACTGCCCCCATAAGGTTTTCAAGGAGTGGCTGGTGGATATGAACTGCTGACCTTTTGGTTAGCTGCTGAGCTCTTAACCACTGAGCCACCAGGGCTCTGAGCACCTACTAGGTCCCTAATATTGCGCTATGCACTGAGACGGCAGTGAGAACCAAGAGTATCAAAAGCCTTTACTTTATGGAGTTTACAATCCAGCAGGAAAGGCAGACAATTACTAATTATAAGAGTACTGAGGTCAGAGAAAAGAAAAGAAAATAGGGGTACTTAACACAGGGATCTTAGGAAAGTTTTTTTTTTTTTTTCTGAGGAAAGGTTTTTTTAAGCTGAAGTCTGAAAGATGAATAGGAGTTATTTGAGTGGGCAAGGGCCACATTGGTGGGAGATTGTAATGTTTGAGAAGAGTGTTCTAGGCAAAGAGACTAGCATGTAAGCTAACTCTGAGCAGCTAAGAACATGCCATATTCAAGGAGCTGAAAGTGGGCTATATTTAGTTGGATTTTAAACACTGATATTTTTTCTTATTACAAAAGTAATATACGCTCATTCTAAAAAATCTGAAAAATGCAAATGGATGCAAAAAAGTAGACAACAATCACCAATATACCCAGCACCCAAAACTCATGGTCATCAATTCTGAATCACAGCTATTGTGTCAGAGTAGAACTGTGCTCCATAGGGTTTTCAATGGCTATTTTGAAAGTAGATTGCCAGGCATTTCTTTCGAGGCACCTCTGGGTGGGCTCAAGCCTCCAACCTCTTGGTTAACAGCTGAGCACTTAACCACTTGCAACACACAGGGACACACCCAGAACTAACCACTGATAATTTTGTCAATTTCTTATCTATCTATGAATCTCTATTTTCTAAAAAAAAAAAAAAGAGGGGGATGTCATGCATAATTTACTATTTCTAACATTTTTTCAACTTAATATATATCACAAAAAATTTTTCATGGTATTAAATAATCTTCTATAATATCATTTTAATTGCCTGCATTGTGGTTGCTTTTTTTTTTTTTTTTTTGGTGTTGGGGCGAAGGGTGTTATATATATTTGTCCCAGGTTGGATTCTCTGAGAAGAGTCTGTGGCAGAGTTCATGTGCCGAATGTGTATTAAGGAGAACCCTTGGAATCAAAACCTGTGGAAAGGATGTGTCTTAGTTATCTAGTGCTGTTATAAAAGAAATACCACAAGTGGATGGCTTTAACAAACAGAAATTTATTCTCTCACAGTCTAGGAGGCTAGAAGTCCGAATTTAGGGTGCCAGCTCCAGGGGAAGGCTTTCTCTCCCTGTCGGCTCTGGAGGAAGGGCCTTGTCATCAATCTTCCCCTGGTCTAGGAGCTTCTCAGTGCTGGGATTCCAGGTTCAAAGGACATGCACATTCCTGGCTCTTCTTGCTTGGTGGTAATGAGGTCCCCCTGTCTCTCTACTCGATTCTCTCTTTATATCTCAAAAGAGATTGACTCAAGATATGACCTTATCTTGTAGACTGAGTCCTGACTTATTAACATAACTGCCTCTAATTCTGCCTTGTTAGCATCATAGAGGTAGGATTTACAACACGTGGGAAAATCACATCAGATGAGAAAATGGTAAACAATCACACAATACTGGGAATCATGGCCTAGCCAAGTTGACACACATTTTGGGGGGACACAATTCAATCTATAACAGGAAGGGAAGATAGCAGAAGTGGGCAAAGGGAGAAGTCAAGCTGCAATGGAGTTTTAAAAACAGCCTTGGCCACCCTCAGAAGGAGCTCCAGGGTTAGAATGGCCTTTCTGAGTTGTCCCAAGTTGGGTTGAGACGACCAGGCCTTTATAACCCACACAGATCAGTCATTGAATGTGGGCCACTGGGGGAAGGGATATGACCTTGTGGGGGCAGTGTAGCCTCTGCAGTTGAGGCCATCCCTGAAGGAGATGACGGCCAAGGGCTATCTGTGGACAGCACCCTGAAGGAGATGACAGCCAAGGGCTATCTGTGGACAGCACTCACAGTAGATGGAACCAGTCCTTTAATGAAGTGGGATCTGGGTGGTGCATCACAGTGTCTACCACAAGATTTATTTAATTAGTCCCCCAGAATAATTTTTACTGTTACAACTAAAGTTGAAATAAACATCCTTATAGGTATGTTTTAATGCATGTGTCTGATTTTTTTTCCCCCTTAGTTTACATTTCCAGGACTGGGTAATGGGATTAAAAGTTATATATTAATAGTTTCTAAAAATATATTTGGATAAGTTGCCCTCAAAAATGGTTATATTAAGTAAATGGTTATAAAAATTTGCCAGCTTGTCAGCAATACCTTATCTTTTACAATGTAATACTTTGTGGCATATGCCACTTTATGTCCTACTATTATCCTTTATAACCCACTCTTTGAGTGTAGAGTATAGCCTGCGGACCATCTGCTGCCTGTAGACAGTGCTCACTGTGATTACAGGTCTTTCTCTTCTGGGATGTCCATGCTCCTATCCTACCCCTTTGGCTCTTTTGGGTAACTGCTCAATGCTCGGGGCAATGGTTAAAGCACTCAGCCACTAACCCAAGGGTCGGCGGTTCGAACCCATGAGCCGCTCCATGGGAAGACGATGTGGCAGTCTGTTCCCATAAAGATTACAGCCTTGGGAACCCTATGGGGCAGTTCTATTCTGTCCTATAGGGTCGCTATGAGTCGAAATCAACTCAGTGGCAGTGGGTTTAGTGGCTCAAATTCTCCCTCCGTGATGCCTTGCCTGACTACCCTGCTCATGGTGTTCTCCCTGCCCTGAATTCCTTGGCTCCTTCCTTCATTCACTCACATCCTTCATCCCTCAGTTGACATATTACATACATCTTTACACAACACATGCATCAGATGTCCTCCATTCTCATGTATTGCATATTATCTCCCCAAATAGTCTACAACAGTGGTTCTCGAAGGATAGTCCCCAGAACAGTAGCATCAGCATTACATGGGTAATAGTTAGAAATGTAGTCTTCAGCCCCACCCCAGACCTACTGAGTCAGAAGCTCTGACAATGGGGTCCAGCAATTTGCAATTCCAATGCAGGTTAAAGTTTGAGAATCACTGGTCTATAAATTTCTTAAGGGTAAGAACACAATGGTGCTACACACACACACACACACACACACACACACACACACATTACATTCCTTAAGACTTGCTTGACTGATTTTAATTATATTAGTGGCTAATGCTGATTGAATGCCTATGATATACCAGGAAATGTAGTGTTGCATGTGCATTCTCTTTCCCGCAATAATTCCATGAAGTATTAACCATTAGTATTTCTAATTTACAGATGGGTAAACTGAGGCTTAGGGAAGGGGTAACTAAATTTCCCAAGTTGAAACAGCTAGCTCAAGTATTAATGTTAGAGCCAGGATTAAAACTCAAGAAGTTGGTGTAAGAGAACATACTCACATAGAGATATAGATTTAGCGGTGGATATTTCTACATATATAACTGTAGGTGATGCTTATATATTAATATAGACAGTAGCGCACACAAGGGACACAGTCAGGGCAACTTTTCAGAGGACAGTGAGAAAAACACAAGAATAAAGGGCAACTGAGTTAACTACGATAGCACAGATGCTCCCGCAACAATAATACTAAGAAACAATAATCTACAAGTGGATATATAGGTAGACAGATATGCCAAGAGGTGTGGGAGGGTGTAAGAGAGCACAACCACCAGCATATACAGGTGTGGTGGTGGATATTTCTACATACATAACTGTAGGTTCTCCTCATATATTAATATAGACAATAGAGCACACAAGGGGCACAGTCAAAGAAATCACTTAGACATAACCAAACACCTCACAAGATGAAGATCTTAGGCTCGAAAGTAAAGAACCATAGACTCAGGGGACATCTACATCAATTGGCACAACATAGTTCCTAAAGACAATGTTCTGCATTCTACCTTGGTGAGTAGCATCTGGGGTCTTAAAAGCTTGCGAGCGGCCATCTAAGATACAACTATTGGTCTCTCACCATCAGGAACAAAGAAGAGTGAAGAAAACCAAAGACTTAAGGGAACAGTTTGTCCAAAGGACAAATGGACCACATGAACCACAGCCTGCATGACCCCGAGACCAGAAGAACTAGATGGTGCCTGGCTGCCACTACCGACCACTCTGACTGGGATCACAACAGAGAATCCTGGACAGAGCGGGAGAAAAACTGTAGAACAAAAAATCAAATTCACAAAAAAGACCAGACTTACTAGTCTGATAGAGACTGGAGGAAGCCCCGAGACTATTGCCCTAGCACACCCTTCTAAACTGGAACTGAAGCCATTCCCAGAGATGATCTTTCAGCCAAACCATAGACAGACCCATAAAATGAACAATAACACCCAAGAGGAATGTGCTCTTTAGAACAATCAATTATACAAGATCAAAAGGGCAACATCTGCTCAAAAGCAAAGATGAGAAGGCAGGAAGGGGTAGAAAATCAGGGTGAAAGGAAATGGAGAACTTAGGATGGAAATAGGGAGACTGGTGACACATTGTGAGGAATGAAACCAATGCCATGGAATACTTTCTGTACAGACTATTGAATGAGAAACTAATTTGCTATATAAACTATCACCTAATGTGCAATAAAAAAATTTTAAAAAAAAGAAAACCTCAAGCGTTGGGGCTCCAGAGCCTTTCTCTTAATTACTATGCTATATTGCCCCGGCATGGATTGAATTATGTCCCCCCAAAATTGTGTGTATCAGTTTGCTGGGCCATGATTCCTGGTATTGTGTGATTTTCCTATATGTTGTAAATCCTGCCTCTATGATGTTAATGAGGGAGGATGGGTGGCAGTTGTGTTAGTAAGGCAGGACTCAGTCTACAAGATTGGATTGTGTCCTGAGGCAATCTCTTGAGCTATAAAAGAGAAACGTGAGCAGAGAGACATGGGGACCTCATACCACCAAGAAAGCAGTACCAGGAGCAGAGCACGTCCTTTGGACTTCGGGTCCCTGTGCGGAGAAGCTTCTAGTCCGGGGGAATACTGATGAGAAGAAGGCTGACAGAGAGAGAAAGCCTTCCCCTGGAGCTGATGCCCTGAATTTGGACTTTTAGCCTACTTTACTGTGAGGAAATAAACTTCTCTTTGGTAAAGCCATCCGCTTGTGGTATTTCTGTTATAGCAGCACTAGATGACTAAGACATCCCCTTATTCTATAGTGAGCATACAAGCACCTGGCCTTCTCCAGTCTTGTTCCTTTTAAAGCAGTATCTGATAGAAATAGATCCCTCCTGCTCTGAGTGACAACAGTGGGCAGAAACAGTGAGAATACTTAGATCTCTGTAGCTTCGTGTTTTCCAAAATTTTCTACATGCTACTTACTGGCACGAATCAAAAACACTGGAAATAGCAAATGTTGGAGAGGCTGCGGGGAGATCGGAACACTTATGCACTGCTGGTGGGAATGCAAAATGATACAACCATTTCGGAAAATAATATGGTGCTTCCTTAGAAAGCTAGAAATAGAAATACCATACTATCCAGCAATCCCACTCCTAGGAATGTATCCTAGAGAAATAAGAGTTGTCACACGAATAGACATATGCACAGCCATGTTCATGGCAGCATTGTTCACAACAGCAAAAGATGGAAACAACCTAGATGCCCATCAACAGAAGAATGGATAAACAAACTATGGTACATACACACGATGGAGTACTAAACAACAATAAAGAACAGTGATGAATCTGTGAAGCATCTCATAACACGGATGAAACTGGAGGACATTATGCTGAGTGAAATAAGTCAATCACAAAAGGACAAATATTGTATGAGACTTCTATTGTAAAAACTCATGAAAAAGTTTACACACAAGAAGTAACAATCTTTGTTGGTTACGAGGAATGGGAGGGGCGGAGGGGAAATACTAAATAGGCAATAATAAGTGGTATCTTTGGTGAAGGGTGAGACAGTACACAATACAGGGGAAACCCGCACAGCTTGTACGAGGAAGGGTCATGGAAGCTCCATGGACACATCCAAACTCCCTGAGGGACTGAATTGCTGGGCGGAGGGCTGTGGGGAACATGGTCTCTGGGAACATCTAGCTCAGTTGGCATAACACAGTTTATGAAGGCAATGTTCTGCATTCTACCTTGGTGAGTAGCGTCTGGGGTCTTAAAAGCCTGTGAGCAGCCATCTAAGATACTCCACTGGTCTCATCCCTTCGGGAGCAAGGGAGAATGAAGAGAACAGGATACAAGGAAAAGATTAGTCCAAAGGACTGGTGGACCACAGCTGTCAGGGCCTCCACCAGACTGAGTCCAGTATAGCTGGATGATGCCCAGCTACTACCACTGACTGCTCTGACCAGGATTACAACAGAGGGTTCTGGACAGAACTGGAGAAGGATGTAGAATAAAATTCTAACACATACGAAAAAGACCAGATTTACTGGCCCGGAAGAGACTGGAGAAACCCCGAGAGTATGGCCCTCAGATACTCTTCTAGCTCAGTGGTGAAGTTACTTCCAAGGTTCACCGTTCAGCCGGGGATTGGACAGCCCCATAAAACAAAATGGGACTAGTAAGGCACAGCAGTCCAGGGACAAGGACTAGAAGGCGGAAGGGGACAGGAAGACTGGTGATAGGGAACCCAAATCTGAGTAAGGACAGTGTGGACATGTAGTGGGGTTGTTAACCGTTGTCATAGGGCAACATGTGAACTGTTTAATGAGAAACTATTTTGTTCTGTAAACCTTCATCTAAAGTGAGAATAGCAGCACAATTGGAAGAACGTAATTGATGTCACTGAGCTGTGCATGTAAAAATTTTTGAAATGGTGTATCTTTGGCTATGTATATTTTCACTAAAAATAGTCAAGAGGGGAGAGGGTTGACATGTCATGGTGTTGTTAACCAATGTCATAAAACAATACGTGTACTGAGTGTTTAATGAGAAACTATTTATTCTGTAAGCCTTCACCTAAAGTACAGTAAAAAAGGAAAAAAAGAACTATTAAAAAAAAAGTTTCTACATGCTACAACTGTATAGAGTGGGGGTTCTTTACCAGGGGCCCATAAATAGGCAACAAGGAACCTGAAACCCCTGAAACTGTATGGGAAAATGTGTGTGTATACATATGATCATTCATTTTTATAGCCCTCCTCAAATTCTCTAAGGAACTCTTGACCCAAAATTATTAAGAACCACTGCTCTTGAGTCTGTGGTCATAGAAGTAGAAAGAACATCAGGGAATGCATAGCCCAGAGGTTCCCAAAAGTTGGCCTGGGACAGGTGCCAAACTGGCTGCATCAGAATCACCTGATCCCTTACCTGAACTGGGCCTGGGAATCTGTGTGTTTAAGTGCCTCTGATGATTCTGATGCACATCTAGGTTTTAGAATCAGTGTTCTGGTCCAGTGGTTCTCCAGTGTGTATCAGAATTCCCTGAAGAGCTTGTTAAAACACATTTTGCTGGACCCCATCCTTAGGGTGCCTGATTAAATAGGTCTGAAGCAGAGCCTGATAATTTGCAAAAGTTCACAAGTGATACTCATGCTTTCGGTCTAGGGCCCACACTTTGAGAACCACTCTCCCAGCCCAAACTCCACATTAAAGATGAATAAATTGAGGCCTGGAAGGAGTTGACTGATTTTTCTAAGATAACATGATTTATTAGGAAAAAGCAAGGATTTCTTGTCTATGTCTGGCAGCATCAAGGAATCTACTTTTTTACTTTCAGATTATTGAGAATATTACTATATATAACTGAATTCGAGAGAAATTGTGCTTTTTTCCATAGAGTGAGATCATCCAACATCAAGGCTATCGCTGTGAGGAGTATGAAGTCATGACTGAAGATGGATATATCCTTTCTGTTAACAGAATTCCTCAAGGCCTAACGCAACTTAAGAAAACAGGTATGGTTCACCCTGTGTCATGCCAACAAGGCAGTGTTCCTTGCAACAATGAGTTCTTTGTGATTTGAGTGCGTAGAAGAGAGTCTGGGTTCTTGGTACAGACTGGGGCCCAGTGCTGGGGCCAAGAGATGGCTTCAGTTTCCCCATTAATTCCTATCACCACCACCCATAACCCCCGTCAATGTTCTCAAATAAACATAAAGTGTTTGCTTCTCAAAAACACCTTCAAGAAAAGTCCATTGCTTGCCCCTCTTCTCTTCTAGCACTTAGCCCTTACCCTAAATCCCTCCTAAATAGAACAGCTGCATTAACCCCTGCCCAGGAATAATGCAAACTCTGACGGGGCCCCTGGTGCTCACCCCTGAACACATGTATACTCCCAATTCAAAAAGCACTTGAAATATTTACAGTGTTGCCCAGCTGTTGACTACAGAATTTTTAAGACCAAGGTTCTCTAACTTTTGCAACATGTTTTTTTTTTTTTTCAATTTTTTCTACGTTTCCATAATTCATATAACCCTAGTTTTTGTATATGGAATTTTCAGCTATTACTGGTTTTTTTTTTTTTTTTAAAAAAAAATCGCCTTCATCACCAACCTCCATTTCTGCTTTGATGCACTATTCCTTTTAATGCTCCAGCTCTATGCTATAGCAGCAAATGCATTGTCTGTCCTGGGTACAGATCATGTAATTTTTTATTGTGTTCTTTTTATATGCCAGGTATTATGCTGAGCACTTTATCTGCATTAGTCTCATTTAACTTTCATAATAACTCTATAAAGAAACTGCCACTCACAGAGGTTAAATAACTTACCCAGAAAGTATGTGCTAGTACTTGCTAGTATATGGCAAAACCTGTACTCAAATCAAGATCTGTCTGCCAATGTAGCCCATGTTCTTAACCAGGACCAGAAGATACCAGGCAGATGTATGCTGTTGGGATTTGATGGTAAAGAAGCTTCAGGGTTCTATTTTATCCCAATTTCTACTTGTGCAGCTTTATGAAACAAATGTTTGTATTTACACCGGCTGCCCATGTCTGGCATGCTCCCACCTTGGTGCCTTTGAACTTACAATTCCTCGTCTGGACTGCTATTTCAACAGATACCTACACATCTTGCCCAGACCCTTCTTTCCAGCCTACTTTGTGAGAGAGTCCTTCCCTGACCACCCTATTCAAAATAGCAACCCCTTCTTACTTGTGGAGATCTAACTTGTTACCTTGTTTACTTCTCTTCACAGCACTTATCACCACCTGATAGAACACATATTTGCTTGTTTGTTTGTTGTCTGTCTCTCCCCAACTAGAATGTAAACTCACTGGTAGCAGGGACTTTGCATTTTGTTGAAGGCTCTATCCAGTGCTTAAAGGAATGCCTAGCACATTGTACCAGGTGCTATGAAGTTGATTCTGACTCACGATGACCTCATGTGTGTCGGAATAGAACTGTGCTCCATGAGGTTTTCAGTGACTGATTCTTCAGGAGTAGATTGCCAGGCCTTTCCTCTAAGATGGCTCTCGATGGACTCAAACCTCCAACCTTTCAGTTAGCAGCTGAGCACGTTAACCGTTTACACCACCCAGGGTCTCTAGCACATTGTAGGTGCTAATATATGTGGAATGAATTAATGAATTTTATATAAACAAATGGATAGCTTGGGAACACTGAGATAACTTTTCATGAAGCCCCACAAGACCCAGGGGAATGGACAAGGCATCAGCTCTCCTTTCTTTCCCTTTCCATGTCAGATGCTCACCTCTTCCAAGCAGTCGAGCGGCTGTGGCAGTTCCTAATTGCGGCGCCACCTGCAGCCCTTCTTCATGGACACGGTTTATTTTTTCACGTCCTTTTAATTAAACTGTTCACCAATTACACAAGAGCTTGGGGTTCAAGGAATTAGCCTTCTCCGTGCACAACTCCCCCCTCTAGTGGCTGATGTTGTTCCTGCAGCTCCCATGCATCTGGCCCAAGGAGGAAGTGACCCAGCACTGAAAGAAAAAGGATTTTTTTTTTTACCATCCATTCAAAAAGAGGGCTGATAAAATTCATACGAGAAACAAGTAGGAAAAACTGAAAACTATAAGCTTGTTATAAAAGCCTTTTTGTCTTACCTCATCAACAAGAAAGAAAATTGGCTTGGGCCACCCTAGGAAATGACAGTTTAACTGTAACACTTACACACTCACGTGCTGGCTATAATCTAGCTGTAAGTATACTCTATGAGATGCGTAAAATGATATAAATGACCAGTTCTCTCACTAGGTGGACTAAAGGTACAAAGACCGCTAAGCTGGGCCAGGCTGGCCCCAGCCACGGAAATGTCCTAAGGACGCCACAGGGGGGCGCTGATCTGCCTTGATTTGATAGCCCCGTGTTGAGACAAGTGGAGCCACCTCCCTGAGGGCAAACAAGATTAACTAAAAGACCAGACATTAAGGAAGACCCAATATAACACCAACTTCCTTTCTCCAGGTCCTATCCTCACAGCCTTCTGTGACCTACATATTTCTCTTCCCAGAGGGGTAAAATGAGGCAAATTGAATACTGCCCAGATCGGAATGAGTTTGTTGTAGAAAGGAGACTGCATACAGATGTGATTCAGGGGTTGATCTACTCCTTTATAACCGTAATAACAAGAGCTACTATCTAATAGGAGGGTACAGTGGTTCAGGTGGCATGCTGAAGGCTTAATGCATGGTATCTCATTTAACACCCCCCAAAACCCTGTGAGGTGGATGATTGTATCCTAGTTTTCTGATGAGGACACTGAAGCTCAGAAAGTTACTGCTAGCAATAACTGCAGCAACAGCAGCAGTAAAATTGCTCTTTATTGCAGGATTTTATTATTCGAAGACTTCCTTACTTTCTTACTAGGCTAATCTTGTCTTTTCACTGCCCCAATCCTGAATTAGTTGTTATCTCTAAGGAGGAAGACATATTTATAACACAGGCCCAGCTTATTCCAGCTGCTATATATCTGGACGCCTACATCTATCTATCTACCTACCTACCTACCTCCTGGGGCACTTTCAATATCCTCCTTAGAGGAGCCCAGACAAGTAGTAATAACTACTCAAAAACAATGGAAGTGACCTTTATTAATTCTTTCTTGGTGCCAGGCATTGTGCCACCTTCTCCTCATGCACTATTTTATTTAATCATAACAAAAATCCAGTTTCACTGAAGAGGAAATTGAAACACAGACAGGTTCAATAACCAGCCAAGAAAATAAAGCTAGCAAGCAGTTGAATCAAGATTTGAACACAGATTTGTCTGACATGAATGTCCTTGCATATTAGCAAATAATGAGAAAGGTGGAGACCATTTCAGACTGTTGAAATTCTCCTTTTTGCAGGTTCCAGACCCGTGGTGTTACTGCAGCATGGCCTACTTGGAGATGCCAGCAACTGGATTTCCAACCTACCCAACAATAGCCTGGGCTTCATTCTGGCAAATGCTGGTTATGATGTGTGGATGGGGAACAGCAGGGGAAACACTTGGTCCCGGAAACACAAAACCCTCTCCATAGACCAAGATGAGTTCTGGGCTTTCAGGTATGTGAAAATCTTGAGAATGGAGGTAGACATGGATGTCTTCGGGACAACTGGGTAAAGAATTGTGGCTTCTAGGGTTTGGATAATATACTTTGGTTGGGTCTTCAATATCCTAACATGAAATCCCTCCAACTGTCTTAATTAACTAGTGATTCTTGTGGGGAAGTAGTGGGGAAGATTGGGTTCTCAGGTGGAACATTGAATCTGTCTAATGGGATGAGAATGGCGGTAGTGATCACTTTATTCTGAAGTGATTGGAGACTGAAATAAGAGAAGTGTATATAGGTCCATTGCCTTATATGTGTATCCTGGGACTAATGCTTGGCATTTATACTGTAAATAAGAGTGATGACAAGGGCTAATACCCCAGAAGGAGATGAGACCAGGCAAAATTAAAGAAATAAGGGAAGTTATTAAGCCTACGGGGCATCAACTTGACTAACACATCTCTCATGATCTTACAAAAAGATTCTAATGTTTTATTTAAATCATCTATTGACACTCCACCTACTGTTTATACATTCCATCAGAGAAAAGGCCCTGCAGAATCTTTAATAATTTTCATATAAATACATCTACATGGATGGCCTGGTGTTGTTCTGCTAATGGGACATCAGGACACCTCCATTAGGAGGTGGAACATATGCTCAGTAAATATTCATTAAGGATGATTATCACTCTCTCTGTAACATCTGAAGAAGACAGTGGTTTGTTGGCAGCCTGTGATCCCAGAGACACTCATACATCACAGGTTTGAAGCAAGTCAGTTCTGAGTGTTATGAGGGGCATGACAACAGGCTGTTGGGATGGACTACTCAAGGGCTTGCTTGTAAACCCCTGGGCTGCTTTTGTCTGTCTCTGATTATAATTTTTCATATAACTTTGTCTTTTCCCCTTGTAGTTATGATGAGATGGCTAGGTTTGACCTTCCTGCAGTGATAAACTTTATTTTGCAGAAAACGGGCCAGGAAAATATCTATTATGTCGGCTATTCACAGGGCACCACCATGGGTAGGTTCAAAGGAAAGCAGGTTTGTATACGCAGAAGAAATGTGAGCATGTGACGCGCAGCGCTGACTGGGATCAGTGGCCATCTCACCTCACACTTCTCTCAGATCTGGTCTTATCCTCTTCCATGTCTCAAAAGGCCACGAGAAAACAGAGACTAAATTGAAAGAGGCTTGTGGTATGGTGGAGCCCTGGTGGCGCAGTGGTTAAGAGCACAGCTGCTGACCAAAATGTTGGTAGTTCAAATCCACCAGCCACTCTTGGGAAACCCTATGTGACAGTTCTACTCTGTCCTGTAGGGTTGCTGTGAGTTGGAATTAACTCGATGGCAACAGGTGGGTTTGGTGTGGTATGGTAGAAAGAGCAAGGACTTTGGAGTTAGGCAGATGTGGATTCAAATACTGGCTCTGCAACTTCTTAGGTAAATAACCTTGAGCAAATTATTTTACCTCCCTTGTCTCAGTTTTCCTCATCTATGAAATAGGGATAACAATGCTACCCTCTTAAAGATATTTGGAGTATTTAATATGATAATGTATATAAAGTTGGAGTGTAAGCTCTGTGAAGGCAGGAACTTTGTCTAAGACACTACTGTAAGAGCACTTCCTGGCACATAGTGTGCACTCACTAAATATGTGTTGAGTGAATGAAGCCCTAAGTTCACTGTCATGCACACAATGGGCAATCAGTAAACAGTAAGCATTACCATCATTTTATAAACAGAACTCTGGGAAATTTTATTCAACTCTTTCTGGAAAAATCTGAGCCAGCTTTTAGTTAACTCAAAAGATGTTTGTTGTTCTCTTAATTCAACAACACACCATGGGAGTCAGACTTAGCCATTTGGTTTCTGATACCTCACCAGGCCATCTAGTCACTTTGGTCACTGACACTGATTTGCTCAGTGATTTGATTCTGCAAAAGTTTGTAATGAGCATTACCTCTTCAAAATGACTGTTATCAGGAAGCCCCGAGTTCACCTTGTGCTAGCTATTTATCTCCCAGGGAGGAGTAGTCCACTTACCTCTTCCTGGCATTCCTCAGGTATAGGTTCTGTCCTCAAGCAAGTGGAGGATAAAGTACTTGCTCTAACAAATTTTAAGGGCAAAAGAGGGCATGACTGAAGGAGGAGAGGTGTTATGTAAGTCCAGTGTTTTGTAGGAAAGTCTCTTATGTATCAAATTGTTTAAGTCTCTCCTGCAAGTTACTCGGCCTTAGCAAACACATCCTGAGGAAGGAGTCCGAGACTCATGACCAACCTGGTCACCAAAGACTAAACTATATGGCCTGGACCTCCTGGCTCATCCTAGTTGAGTCTTGTTAATCTTGTGTACAGCAGAATAATGGGAATTTTTTTTAGCTCCCCTTATCCTTTCATATTTGTATAAATCATAATGTTACTCTATGTGTCTGTTGGGGAAGATGTGATTCATAGGAACTTCTTAAGCATTAATCATGCTACCAGAAGCTCCTTCCTATAGGATTTCCCAAAGCTCTTTTCAAACAATCATTTATGGTCATTACTCACCTACAATGATGTTATGTCAAAGAGTAAAAATGAACTGTGAATCCCAAGTTCTGGCAGCTTTAGGACTGTTGCAACTCAGGACGCGAGTTCGGTAGGCTCGTTTTTAACTGATGCTCTCTAGTGAATGAAGAGTTTGACTTTCATGTTTTCCTTTGCTTGTTTTTCAATATTATTAACTTATTCTGGTGATGCTTGCTCTCGCCAGGCACTTCTTAGAAAGAAAATTAGGGTGTTATGTCTGTTCCTACTCTAATATCCTGAGGCCTCTTAAGTTTTTTTCTCTGCCCTCCAAGCTCTTCAGTGATGTGAAGACAGAGGTGCTAATGATGAGGTTAAATACTACTTCAAAGGGAAGGAGGGGATGAAAAACATAGGATTCTTCCAGCAGTGAATCATGGAGCTGTTAATATGGAGAACTTGAACGTGCTTCACATAAAGAGAACTATTGCTAGAAGAAGTTACCTAGAGTTCTCAGGTCTTACCATCTGAACAGAGGTCTAACATAGTTAGAATTAATCAGAGTATAATTTAATGTATTTTCAACCCCAAGCTACTGAAGGCACAGCTGGGGGAGCAAGAAGTAATAACAGGTTACCTTTGTGCCTACTTTTGTATGTGCCTAGCAACGTAATCAGAGGGAAAAGTAGAGAAAAAATCAGTTTTCTTTCATACTCACTAACCTTCTGGGAACTAGAAAGGATCAGGGGATGCTAGTTTTTCTCTGCCCAAGCCCCTAAAACTACAGATGTCAGCCTAGACAGAGAGTGCACAGATTCTCTTGAAATAGACACACAGTATTTCAGATACAATGACCACGCCCTAACTTTGTAGAATACCCTTTTCCCAAAAGCGCCACAGAGATTGTTGCTGTACTGTGGTAATTCAGGGAATTCATCTCTCTACTTTATAGATAAAGAAACTGAGACACAGACTAATTTATACCAAGTCTATGGCAGGTGTAAGTATTGGAATTCAGTTCATGCGACAATTTGTCCACTAGATTATGTTACAGTTTGGATTCCAAAAAAGTTAGGGATCAAGAAAAAATACCTCAAACCCTGCTATTCTCAGTGCCCATTATGTAACAGAGCATACTTGTTATCAATAAACAAGGCAACTTCTCTGATTCTCAATTTCTTTCTCTGTAAAGTAGAGATAAAAATAAATAAACAAAAACCTCATAAGATTCTGAGAATTAACTGAGGTAAGAACCATGAAATACCCAGCAAAATGTCTAACACATAGCTTTATCTCTCTCAGTATACGGTTTGAGAATACATACAGTCTCAAAGTTAATATTATTGGATTCAATAATTTAATTCAATAATTCAGTGGGAGTCTACTACTTGAAAGCAAATATGCTCGGTGTCATAAGCAATTCAGAACTTTTTGCTTTTGTTTTGTTTTTTCTCCTTCAAGGAGTTTATAATTTCATAGCAGAATTAAGATACAACCACATATAACTAGCCCCGGAGGTCACCTTTTAGCTAAATAACAGATTGGCTCACAAAATGAAGAATATCACCTGTGAGTACTGTGCTCCTTTAAAAAATCATCTATGAGACCAAACAGTCAACAATTACTTTAAAATAAAGATGAGAAGTAAGGAGGCAGGGAAACTAGATTAATGGAAACAGACCAACCAGAATGGAAATGTTGAGAATGTTTACACATTGTGAAGAATGTAACCAATGTCACTGAACAATTTGTATAGAAATTGTCAAATGGGAACCTAGACTGCTGTGTAAACCTTTACCAAAAACACAATAAAATATTATTTAAAATAAAGAGGTACACCGACACATAATTACTGAAGCATCTTAGTAAAAGTAGGATAAATACAAGTTGGAGGATGTGCTATATACATGCTGACACACTTCTCCTCTCACAGGCTTCATTGCATTTTCCACCATGCCCGAGCTGGCTCAGAAAATCAGAATGTATTTTGCTTTAGCTCCTATAGCCACTGTCAAATATGCAAAAAGCCCTGGAACCAAATTTTTGTTGCTGCCAGATATGATGATCAAGGTATGTGACTTCTCAGATGATTCCTTGTCTATATAGAAGAGTCTTCCAGCCCAATTTGCTAAAGCATATACTTTTCAATGAAAGCCACTTCTTTCCTGCCTGTAATGTAATGACTACTACTTCATTTCATATTTTGTAGGGATTGTTTGGCAAAAAAGAATTCCTGCACCAGTACAGAATTCTTAGACAGTTCATTATTTACCTCTGTGGCCAGATGATAATTGATCAGATTTGTAGCAATGTCATGTTACTCCTGGGTGGATTTAATTCGAACAATATGAACATGGTAAGTGAGAGCCTAACAAATTCTTTGTTTCTCAAAGCAAAGCTAGGAGTTATTCCTCTCACTCCTGGAGGGTGAGATAATGACACTGAAGACTTAGAGAAATAACATACACCCTGTCTTTCAGTTCTGTATGAATTGTAATACTATGAGAGAAGTCCTTCAGCATGGGCTGAGGCAAGGTTAATATAAGGGCATTGCTAAACATCAGCTTTGCAGATTACAGATGGCAGAGGTCTGAAAGCAGCTTTGCTAGCATGAATTAACAATGAAAACAAAATTAGAATCTAGTAGTCAAAGGAGAGGAATGCCATACATCATCAACCTATTCCCTCTACCTGGATCCTTCTGGTATGTGGTTTAAGCCCTTTGATGGGAGGTCTGGGAGTTTGGGTTAGTCCTAGGCCCCTAGTAGCAGCAGTCAAGAAATCAAACGACGTATTGGAGTGGGCAAATCAGCTGCAAAAGACCTCTTTAAAATGTTAAAAAGCAAAGATGTCATTTAGCGGACTAAGGTGCACCTGATCCAGGCCATGGTATTTTCAGTCACCTCATATGCATGTGAAAGTTGGACAATGAATAAGGAAGACCAAAGAATAATTGACGCATTTGAATTATGATGTTGGCAAAGAATATTGAATATTCCATGGACTGTCAGAAGAATGAACAAATCTGTCTTGGAAGAAGTACAGTCAGAATGCTCCTTAGAAGTGAGGATGGAGAGACTTCATCTCACTTACTTGGGACGTATTATCAGGAGGGACCAATCCTGGCAGAAGGACATCATGCTTGGTAAAGTAGAGGGTCAGTGAAAAAGAGGAAGACCCTTGACGAGATGAACTGACACAGTGGCTGCAACAATGGGCTCAAACATAGCAATGATTGTGAGGATGGTGCAGGACTGGGCAGCATTTCCTACTGTTGTACATGGGGTCGCTATGAGTCAGAAACGACTTGGCACCTAACAACAAACAACATAGGTACCAGTTGGTAGGCATCATAGGGTGTGTTCCCAAAAAAGCATATTCTGAGGTGGAGTTTAGTGTGCAGAATGGTTTTGGGTTGTGATCTTGGAAAGAAACAGATTTGGACAGATGGAAAAGTACAGCTGTGATATAGTCTCAACAGAAGCCTCCGTTGGTCCTACCAAGAGTTGTGAAGATGGGATGACTCTTCAGAGGTTTCTCAAGTTAGAGTGAGAGGGCTGAGCCTTTATAACCCCACATCAATCGGTCGTTCAACACAGACCACGCCAGAAATGAGGGACTCATTGGTCAAAGCAGCTCTCTGCCCCTGAGGCAATCCCCAGAGGGGGCTGACAGTGGAAGGTTTTCTGCCGGCAGCACTCCCAGGAGCTCAGGGAATAAGTCTTTAATTCCCAAAGAAATTATTTTATTAGTAATACAATGATTACGTTAAGAGCTACCATTAGGTAAACATTTATTATGGGCCATGCTAAATTAATCCCTATAACAACCCTATGAGAGAGAGATTATCAATATCCTCATCACTTTACAGATTAGTATTCTGAGATTTAGTGTGATTAAATAACTCACTTAGACTCACCTAAAAATTAAATGGCAAAGCCAGGATTTGAATACAAGCAGCCCAATTCCAGAGACCTCCTCCTTAATAAAGGAGCCTTGGTAGCACAATGGTTAAGTGCTCAGCTGCTAACCAAAAGATTGGTGGTTCGAACTCACCCAGTGTCTCCACTGGAGAAAAGACCTGGTGATCTGCTCCTGTAAAAATTACAACCTAGAAAATCCTATGGGGAAGTTCTACTATGTCACATGGGTCACTATGAGTCAAAATTGACTCGATATCTAACAACAACAAATCCTTAATAGCTGTAGTAAAAAAAATTTTAAGAGGCCAGCTCTCTAAAGAGAAGTTATCCTCAGATGAAAAATGTAGGTGCCCAGGAATACATTTGATAACAGTTTTATTTATGTGCACATATGTATTAATGTTTCATAGATAACTGCTGATAATTTAATGATATTCTCAATTCTTAGTCTAACACCTTGGGGAGTTGGTCTTGACCAGGTGCATAGCTTGTGAAATTTTCTAAGTCCCACAAGCCACTGCTGCTTTGTTACAGAGCCGAGCAAATGTGTATGTTGCCCACACTCTTGCTGGAACATCTGTGCAAAATATCCTACACTGGAGCCAGGTAAGAATGTTGGATGTGTAGTCTTTGCTAAGGGCCATTGCACATTTTTTCTGGAATACGCAAAGGATGTCCTTGTGACAGCCCAGGAGTTTTTTATATTTAATCCAAGATGAGACTCAACTCTGCCAATGATATGCCAACTATAAATTTGATCTAGAGTATTGAAATTTGTTAAGAGATGAGAGGAAAACACTGGAGTGGCCCAATGGCATCTTTCGTGAATCTTAAAAGTGTGAATTAAGGTGGTCCAAGTGAAACATTTCTCTATCTCTAGCCATGAAGACATGAGGCTGGAAAAGACCTTTTTGGCTATTCCAGCAGCTTGGTCAAATAACCAAACCAAAAACCAATCCCATTGTTGTCAAGTCGATTCTGACTTAGTAAACCAAAAATGCTAAGGTGGCGTCTTAAATTAAGCCCAAAGAGGTTTTCACAGGAGCCATTTGTGCTGCAGATCTCACCTGCAATCACAAGAGTGAAATATCTGATTACCAATCACATGAACTGTCTCTAAGGGGTGTTGTGGTTAATTTAAGGTAAATCATTCAGAATTGATTCAAGGACAATGGAGTATCACATGTGAACCCTAAGTGTTTTTTTTGCATGTGAAGAAGCATTGACCCTAAGAGTGCTCATTATAGATGATATCACAGAGTTACTCCAGTTGGCTGTGGAAATAAGGGTAGATATAAGGACAGAGAGCTAGAGCATAACTACTTCCCTCAGGTTCTCATCTACTAAAATACCCAGTTTGTTTTAAAAAAAAAAAAGAAGAAGAAAGAAACAAACAAAAGAAAATAGAAAAAAAGGGTCTTAACTCAAGCAGGATATTTTAAGAATACTGATGATATTTATAAATCATAAATATGAGTCCAATCTATTCTTCTAACAATTTAGAATCTAGTCATATTCTTCTATTGTCATATTTTTGGATGTGTTTGTGTGTATGTGATATTTTATACCCAAAACTAAAAAATTCTGAATTGGGTTAAGTTTGGCCACTATCTCCCAGGACCACCACATTGCCAATTCCAGGGGGTGCTTTCCCATTTTTGTCTATGAAGTTATGCAGAATACCCACATAGACTACAATGGGTACACACTTTTTGAAATTGTGTAACGTATGGGTCAAGTATTTCTTAATATATTTTTTTCCCCTGAAACAGCTTCATTCTTGCCTTACACTTTCCAGAAGATTACCCCAACACTAAACGGAAGAGTAGCCTCAGCCTTGGGTTTCTGCTTCCACTCACAATTGCAGTCTTGGTAGCGCATTTCCACCACCACCCACCACACTTAACCAGTGATACATCTGAATGCCTTGTAAATTTTTCTGCTTCCTTTTAGGCAGTGAATTCTGGGGAACTCCGGGCATTTGACTGGGGGAGTGAGACCAAGAATCTGGAGAAAAGCAATCAGGTAAGAATATCCAATACCATCTGCTGGAAGTGTGTGAGAGGGAATTAGAAGTGGCAGTTTATTTGAGGGGTGGGAATAAAATACAGGAATTGAAGCAAAAAATAATACTTTGGGTTTGATTCCATTTGAAAATGGGCACGTTCACAGCCTTAATCAGGAGGTCTTTGTGCTTCTTAAATAAAGTAGAAGAACTTTTCTGATGAGGCTGCCTTTGTGAAGCAGGCACTGGGCTTTTCTGGAGCAAGATGGGGTAGATTTAGAAGAGTGTAGTTTGTGGTGGTTGCCAGAAAGATCCTTTTAGGATTAAAAAAGAAGAAGAATGAGAATGGCAGTAGAGTGGAAGAATTTCATGCTACAGACAAAAGGTCATTAAATAGCAAGTGGAGATTACAATGTTAGTCTTGCCTCTGCACTACTGTGTATCATGGGCAGGTCGTTGTGACTCTTCAAGGCCGTTTCTTTATCTTTAAAATAAAAATTATTGGACTAGGTGATCTTTAAAAGATCTCCAGGTCAGATTTTTAATAAACGTGTAATCTGCAAGTGAAAAATATGAAAAAGAATGTTATTACATGACTCAGTGTGTATTCAAAGCTATAAAATAAAATTAAATGTAAAAGTTGCAGAGAATCGGAAAAGGATAATTATGCTTTTCATTTAAGAATATTGGTTAGCGTGTGTGTGAATGTAAACAAATATTGACTATAAAACAGAAAGCTGGACGGAGCAGAGTGGACACAACCTACTCCTTCCTGGAGAGTCTCATATCATAGTTAACATCCCTTTGCTGCATATCAATCCAGACATAAAAGATCAAGAAATTGGATGGACTGTGTAGTGCCCCTGAATAGCAAATTCTCAATCACAGGTTATCAGCCACTTTTTTAGATCCTTCTTCACTGTTTCCTAAAACATGTCTTTAGAGAAAGCATTCCAGTCTTAAGACAATTTTAATTTATCAACATCTAATGTACTGGTTTCTAGAGAAGGTGACAAATGCAAAGTCCAAAAAAACCAAACCCATTGCTGTCAGGTTGATTAGGACTCATAGCGACCCTCTAGGACAGAGTAGAGCTACCCCGTAGAGTTCTTTAGGGAAACAGACTGCCACGTCTTTCTCCCGCAGAGTGGCTGCTGGGTTTGAATCGCTGACCTTTTGGTTAGCAGCTGAGTGCTTAACCATTGAGCCACCAGCACCACCTTGAGTACAGAGTAGGCAGCTGAAAATAGTAATGGAAAGGAAGAGAAAACATATGAAAAAGGTGTCATAGGATCACAGAACCTTGCAACTAAACATGGTGTTTATTTCAATCTTTTCACTTGTAAGATAAGAAAAAATATTACCGGCCCCATAGAATATTCCAACCTTCACTATCTACATTAGGATATAATTCCAAATTCTTAGGCACCACAAAGAGGAATAGGACCTCTGGATTAGAGACTAGGCTCCATGGCGGATTTGCTGAGTAAGAAATGGGCTTCTATTTCTGTGGAAAGTTCGAGAGCTCAGCCAGCCAGCCTGATCTGGTGGTACTACTTGAATAAGGGGAATTGCAAGGAATTAGGAATTCTAGACACTCTCCTTTGAGTGACAGGAGGTTTGAGCAGGGGTCTAGTTTCTATATCCCCTTGGTTCAAACTGCCTGAGTTCCTGTGCCGTAGGCCCATTTGTTGATTTTCCCTTGTTTTTGGAGAGGCGGTCAAGCTGGGCCTGCCTCAAGGGTTCTGTGCGATTCAGAGTAAGAAAATCCAATACCATCTGCTGAAAACATACCCTTTGGAAATGTGTGAGAGGGAAGTAGTTGCAGCAGGTTCCAGTAGCTTCCATTCTCTTGCCTTCCTCTGTAGAATATCTCTAATTCTTGCCTCATGAAACATTTGTGAAATTATATCTTAAGAAGACAGGGACATTATTTTTAAAACATTTGATAAGAAGAAAAAAAGTTGAACACTATTCAATGCCTGAAGTGCTAGGTAGTTTACATGTTTTCTGATTTAACCAAGTTATTATAGATATTGTCCCCATTATGCAGGTGAAGAAACTGAGGTTCAGTGATGTTAAGTAATTTTATCTTAAAGTAGAGGGTGGTACAAAAATTCCAATGCAGTTATGTATGATTCTAACACCCATGTACCTTCCACCACAACACATGGTATATTTATTATGCTTATTTGAAATGTAAGTTATAAATTTGGAAATCCTAATGTTACCTAGAATTAAAAACCATTCTTTTTCTCTAGCCAACTCCTGCAAGGTACAAAGTTAGAGATATGATGGTCCCTACAGCAATGTGGACTGGAGGTCAGGACTGGCTTTCAAATCCCGAAGATGTGAAAACACTCCTCTCTGAAGTGACCAACCTCATCTACCATAAGAACATTCCTGAATGGGCTCATGGGGATTTCATCTGGGGCTTGGATGCTCCTCACCGTGTGTACAATGAAATCATACATCTGATGAAGCAGGAGGAAACTGACCTTTCCCAGGGAACATGTGAGGTCAAGTTGTCAAGCATTTGATACTGACGAGTCTTAGGAATAGCCTCATGGAAGATGGGGCTGGGGTCCGTGAATGGAATTTTATAGAGGTTTACCAGAATTGAAAACCTACTATATTGGTAAAGAAAGGCAGAAAAGGGAGGGAAGAGATATAGTATACATACCTTCAGATCTCCTGTACTTGACACTGACTGACATTTAATTTTTCTTTCAATTAAGTAAACTACTCACTGGGTGAAAATAGGCTTCATGTGCTATTAGATATTCTACTACCTTGAAGGACAGGTTTTGCCTGACAGCCAGAAAGTATCTAGACATTATATCATCAGGTAAACCTCCTTCAAAAATTTATTTTTTTCTGTAAGCCATATTTTTGGAGCAGCAAAGTAAAATGACAAATTGGGATAGACACTGAGGTCTTGAATCTCTGGATTGTTGTTGACTTTGAAAAAATAACTATAGCAACATAACACTACCTCAGACAGCCAAGGTAAAGTACAGATGAAATATATTTTAAGTATCCTTATAATAGGCCCACATTTTATAGTTGGGTCTCAGGGAAGATAATTTTGTAGGATATTTATGAGTTGTCCAACAAATGCATTATGCTTGCAAAAAGCATGTATACGTATTTTAGTACCTAGAGTCTAGACAAAGCTTGTTTGAAAGTTTACAGCCTGTTGCTTGGAGACATAATGGCTAGAAATTTCTGGCCCAGTTTTTTGCCTCTAAAAATTAAGAGCTAGGCTCAATTGGCATAACACGGTTTATAAAGACAATGGTCTACATTCTATCCTGGTGAGTAGCATCTGGGGTCTTAAAAGCCTGTGAGCAGCCATCTAAGATACTCTGGGAGCAAGGGAGAATGAAGAAAACAAGATACAAGGAAAAGATTAGTCCAAAGGACTAATGGACCACAACTACCATGGCTTCCACCAGACTGAGTCCAATACAACTAGATGGTGCCTGGCTACCACCACTGACTGCTCTAAGAGGGATAACAACAGAGGGTCCTGGACAGAGGTGGAGAAAAATGTGGAACAAAATTCTAACTCACAAAAAAAGACCAGACTTACTGGCATGACAGAGACTGGAGAAACCCCAAGAGCATGGCCCCCAGACACCCTTTCAGCTCAGTAATGAAGTCACTCCCGAGGTTCACCGTTCAGCCAAAGATTACACAGCCCCATAAAACAAAATGAGATTAATGGGGCACAACAGTCCAGGGACAAGGACTAGAAGGCAGGAGGGGACAGGAAAGCTGGTAATAGGGAACCCAAGTTTGAAAAGGGACAGTGTTGGTATGTCATGGGGATTGTTAACCATTGTCATAAAACAATATGTGTACTAACTGTTTGATGTGAAATTATTTGTTCTGTACACTTTTATCTAAAGCACAATAAATAAAAATTAAGAGCTAGGAAGAAAATGTTATAATGTAATAAAACAAGGTATATATTTTATCCTTTGATCTTGTCAAAGTTACTGGCAGACAATCACCCCAATGCATCCACAAATCTAGATTTCTTTCTTTAGAAAAACTGTTCAATTTTCATACAGTTTCAAAGATGATAGTAATAAGTTATATGAGTAATAGTACCATTTTGCAAAATCTAATCTGAAACCAAATCCAAGTTATACTGGCATATAAAGTCCACTTGTTTTTCTCTCCCCTAGTCACCTTGTAACTCAGTTCAGTGATAATGGATCTTAAATAATTTACTAAGAGTCATTTAAGGGCTTCAGAATCTATTTCTACAGGTTCCTTCCTTTACAAAATATGTGCCTTAAGGCCCTGTACGTAGTTCTATAAATATTCCTGGGTTTGATTTTTTATTAGACCTTTGTTCTGGTCAAGAATAGTAAACCCTTTGTTCTTAGATTGTGCTTCTTACCACACGTAGTGTGGTTTAGCTTGTGTCCATAGCTATGGGTCATTCAGATTTGATTTGCAAAGTTCAATCATAATTTTTTAAATGTATTTATTTCCACTCTATCTCATTCACAAAAGAGGTGAGACATATTTTGATATTCGCAATCTCTCGCTTAGAAGTATATTCCAGATACCAGCTCGTCTCATCATATAGTTCTATTTTTTTGTAAAGAAACCCTTCACCTAAATAATTTACAATAATATTTAAAATTTTATCAATAAAAATAAACCAAACTAGCAAGTTCAGCATCTGGCTTGTATTCTCAAGAGGATCATAAAGATCTTTTTGAACAAACATATTGATAGTTACGTAGTCTTGTTCAAAACTAAGACAGCTTTTACTTGTAATCTAATACCAAAATGGCTAGTAGTGTGCTGATAAGCTGGCTTTCTGGAAAGAAAGGAAGGAAGGAAGGAAGGAAGGAGGGAGGGAGGGAGGGAAGGAAGGAAGGAAGGAAGAAAACCCCTCATTTATAGCATTTGCCAATTTCTATGATGTAAATACTTCTACCACTGACAACTGATAGATGTCTTTGTTGAAGTTATTTCACCAAAGAAATATTTACACATGAACTTCTAAACCCACGCACATACATACAAATGTACACATTTTGATTTTTCTTCTTACTACTCAAAGGGACCTGAAAGAAATAGTTTGTCTCCTAGGGCATGAAGTAGACAGGACAGATTCTTTATAAGTGAAACAACAGAGAAAAGAGAATGCTCTCTCATATAACTCTGCTCCTCTTCTTTAGAAGACACTGAGGTCGAAACATCATGTGTTTAGGCTGAAGTGAAGATTCCAACAAATCAGTGCTTTCCCTAGAGGATTATGGCCATGGTGAACTCCACAGAGTGAAACACATTATAAATACCAAGCTCTTCAAAAAAAATTACCCATGGCAAACATCATTATCCCCATGAAATGGTGACTTCCACGTTGAATGGCCTATAGTCCAACAGTCCAAGATGGAGATAGAATCCAGTCCTTTAACTTTGCCTACTTCTCCATCTGTGAGGCCACAGGACTATGAAACTTTCCTTAGCATTAATTCAATCTGGGAAAATTTTAATCTCTGTGCAATGTCCAGTGGACTCTCACCATCCTGAGGAGAAAAAAAAAAAGTAATTATTTCCAATAGAGTTAAGTGTCAATGCAAAGGCTCTAGTAAGCAGTTTAGACTCATTGACTCTCAGGTTTGGCAAAGGCTTTAAATGTCATTCAGTTCTAACAGTAATAACCCAAACCAGTTGCTGTCAAGTCGATTTCAACTCATGGTGACCCCATGTGTGTCAGAGTAGCACTGTGCTTCATAGAGTTTTAACGGCTGACTTTTTGGAAGTAGATCACCACCTTCTTCCAAGGCACCTCTGGGTGGACGTTAACCTCCTACCTTTCAGTTAGCAGCCTAGCACATTAACCATCTGCACCGCCCAGAGACTCCCTCTAACAGTAATGTTGTTGTTTGCCATTGAGTCAATTTCAACTCATAGCGACCCTATAGGACAAAGCAGAACTGCCCCATAGGGTTTCCTAGGCTGTAATCTTTACGAGAGCAGATCGCCAGGTCTTCTCCCCCTTGGAGCTACTGGGCAGTTTGAACCACTGACCTTTTGGTTAGCAGCCAAGAGCTCAACCATTGCACTACTAGGGCTCCTATACCGGTAATAGGATAACTCAGTCCCTTAATGAAGATGATTAATTCTATTGTTATTAGTATTGGAGGCAAATAATTTACTTCAGCACAAGGCTAGGAGGTAATGCTACTGGAAGAACCTCACACCATGGTGTACAGATGCTTACCTTATTCTTTATTGTGGGATCTGCATGGGCTTCCAGGAGCAGAGGGATAACCGTCTGGTTTTTCATCTCACAGGCGTAATGCAGGGCAGTGCAGCCATACTGAAACACAAAGGGCCAACGCTGCAGCTCATCGGTCAGGCTCTCCAAAGACAGAAGTCTGTGGCTTCTTAACAAACACTTCACAGCTTGTAGTTTATCACTTAAGTAAAACCTTTTGTGGGCAACTGTATTTCATGTACTTACAACGAGTTATCTTCTCTACTTCCGTGTGTGTATTAATATCCTATAGGTCATCAGTATCTCCCTTTCTCATTTTCTGTTCTGAACTTAAAAATGCATCTTCTAAAAAGCTGATGCTCAAAAATCCTAAGATTTCTTTGTAGAATTCTACATGCCTGGGCAATCACTATCTTGATCATGTCACCAGTTTTCCCTTTAAAGAACCTCCACATACACCTTTATTTTTTTTTTTCAGATATTATCCTTTATGGTCCTTGAACAAATCCCCACAGTCTGAAAAAGACAAGTGGTGCCCATATTACCCCAGCATGCCTACAAGATCGGTGCAGCTCTATGTGGAAGTTCCTTATACTTTGTGTATCATTACTGGATCATCCTGTTGGTACTAATTTAAAATACTAAGTACAGATCAAAGGAAACTTAAAGCCAGGGTATTTGTGTCCAAAATTTTGTCTTTCAGAAAGCAGCCAAGCAACCAGGGTTTTGGTAAGAGAAGAAATAATATCCTTGGCCATCAAGACTAACAGAACTAATTCTGGGCCTTGTTCCCTGGAAGCTCTTCTAAGCTCATAGGAGATAATGCTGCAGTCACTTATTTTTATAAAGTGATAGCATGAGGAATGCAAGATCTAGTGGTGAATTTTTCCTGGTGAAATAGAGTCTAATTACCTTAAAATACAAAACACTACATTACTTAGTGTGGGAAAATGGATCTTAATATTCAGATTATTTTTTAATAATGTTTGGTGGTAAAGGTAGGTAGATGTGTGTGTGTGACACACATATATAGAAATGTAATATCTCTATCAAGACATAAAGAGAGAAATAGAAAAATATTCTATAGAAATTTTGGTTATAGGCATAAACTTTACACCTTTTGAATTTTACTTAATCTTTACTAATATTTTACTTAACACCTTTCAAAGGCATCTAAAGAAATTATGATACATGGGAGTAATGTCTATCCAAATTAGTTTAAAAATTCTATTTAAAAGAAAAGAAAAACATACATTATATAAACATATTCTCTTGATCTCAAATGTGCTGTATGCACACACACATATACACACACCGCATTCGTTTAAACAAATGATATCAATATAGCCAAAACTAGAATGATGTAAATAATTAATCGAAACAAGGATGGGGACATTTTCTCTATTACAGAACAATGTGCCCACTCAGAAGAAGTCAGGCATCACAAATAGAATGTTATCTTTTATAGAGTCAAAGTTCAACTTTTTCAATAAAGAACTGGAAACCCAATTTTTTATTCAATAAATATAAGCAAATAAAAGAAGTGCAAATGAACTTTTGACTCATTATGATCATTTAAGGGAGGAAGATGAATGCAAGGATGCAGGGGTAGAGGTGAAAACAAAGCATACTCGTGGACAGGAAGAAGTTAGCTGAGGCTACTTGCTGTAGATTGAATCGTGTCCTCCAAAATTATGGGTTGTAAATTCTAACTCCTATACCTGTGGAGGCGGTCTCGTTCTGGAATAGGGTTTTCTTTGTTATGTTAATGAGGCCATATCAGTGTAGGGTGTGTTCTCAGCCATTCGCTTTTGAGACGTAACAGAGCAGATTAGGCACAGAGGAAAACCAAAAAACCCATTGCCATCAAGTCGCTTCCAACTCACAGTGACCCTAAAGAATAGAGTAGAATTGCCCCAAAGGTTTTCCAAGTAGTGGCTGGTGGATTTGAACTGCCAACCTTTTGGTTGGTAGCCATAGCTCTTATCCATTGCACCACCAGGGCTCCTAGCACAGAACAGGCAAGCACAAATGGAGGGGAAGATACATGCCACGTGGAGATCACCACGAGCACAAAAAGAAGGCCAGAGAAGCTGAGACAAGGATATTCCCCCAGAGCCAACAGAGAGCAAGCCTTCTAGTCTCCTGAACTGGGAGAGAATACATTTCTGTTTGTTAAAGCCAACCACTTGTGGTATTTCTGTGATAGCAGCGCTAAGAAGCTAAGACACTACTCCTGCTATGATCATTACTCTCACTCATCATCATTTGGATTTTCTTTAGTTTTAGAGCTGGGGACTCTCTTACTAGTGGGTTGGGAGCTTGGCTGCAGCAGCAGCTGTTACAATTTATTGAACACAGGTACTCTGCTAAGTGCTTTATGTGAACCAGCCCTGTAAGGTAAGTACTATCAATATCCCCATTATACATATGAGGAAACTGAAATTTGCCTAAGTTTATATCTTGCCAAAACTCCCATAGGTAATAAATGACAGGCCTAGATTTGCAGATAGGCATTCTAACTTCATCTTCTTAACCACTCAGAATGCTATTTTGCTATGACAGCCTCTGATTTCCTTAACTTCTCAACAAAGTTGAAATCAGTTCTTTCAAAAATGATCAATAAAGACTTTATTCCCTTGAGTTCAGTGGCAGAATATAGACAATCTCAAGGTCACCTGACTGGTAGTAAAAATAAAGGAGAGAGAAAACTAAACGAAGGGAAAGAATGCAAGCAAGTCCATCCATCAATGGCAGGTACACCACCTACAAATACCACTTTGAATATTATTTCAAAACAGCTGAAATGACAGACTTACGCAGTCTGTAGCATTAACTTCGATGCCAGCGTCAAGTATCATTTGGACAAGAGTTTCATTTTTCTTTGTCTTTGATATCTATAACAAATGGCAAATACAAGAGAAATTTGTTTAAAAACATTTTCTCCATCTTATGTCTGAAACTATTTTAATCAATTAATTAATAAGTTTCGTTTTCATCTCAACACCCAGCATGCCTGTGCATTGTTTTTAAAATGTCCCCCACCTGGCCAACACACACCCCTTAGCCCTATCAATTAGTTAAACCTGTGGTTCTCAGAGCACGGTCCTGGAATAGCAGCATCAGTACCTGGGAACTTATTTTAAATGCAAATCCTCAACTTCACCAGAGACCTACCAAATCCTACTAAAGATAGAGTCTTTCTCATCCGTCAATAATTTCCCATTGCTCTGAGGACAAAAATAAACTCTTCAGCATGGCCTACAAAGCCCCATATGCATCCGCCTCTGTGTACCTCCCCAGCCCCCTGTCTGACTCTACACCCCCCACCCCCACCCCAGCTCACCCTGTTCACCTACGCTGGCCTTCTGTAGTCTTTCATCCTGATTGGGCTCCCTCCTGCACAGGATGTTCCCTCTACCTAGAAGCCTCCTTCCTCCCGTCTTTGTCTGGTAAATTCACCTCTCAGATCTCAGCCCAAGAACTCTTCCTCAAGGAAGCTTTTGCTGACCTACCTGACCAGGTAAAATCCCTCTCTTCTAGGCTCTCGTATACCAATCCCTTCTCTGCATCAACTGCTTCATGGTAATGTGTTTGTGTCATTATTTGATTAATGACACTCTCCCCACCACCCTTGAACTCTCTTGAGGAGAAGGACTAAATTTATTTTGCTCATCATTGTGTCCCTACCACCTAGCACAATGCCTGGCACACTGTTGGTCCATAATAAATATATTTTGAATAATTGAACAAATGAAATCCACTTTTCCTCCCTAGTCTGATGAGATTCTGACCACATGCCAGTTGGAGCCTTCCTCCAGCATTGCACTGAGGAAGCACAGCTGTCTCTGCTCACATGGCCTAGCCCTGGAGTTCAGCTCCTTTATCTTCTATGAGTCCCTGGGTAGTGCAAACAGCTGACTTGCTCAGCTGCTACCCAAAATGTTGGAGGTTCAAGTCCACCCAGAAGCACCTCAGAAGAAAGGCCTGGCAATTTATGTTAAAAAAAAATCAGCCATTGAAAACCCCTTGGAGCCTGTTGCCCTGAGATAATCTTTAAACTTTAAACCAAAAATATCCCCTGAAGTCTTCTTTAAACCAGGGCTTCAGACCGGTTTGTTCTGGTTCAAAACCCTGCTGAGAATTTGCATTTCTAGCAAGTTCCCAGGCAATGCTAATGCCGCTGGTTAGGCACCTCAGAAGAAAGGCCTGGCAATCTACTTCCAAAAGGTCACAGCCATGAAAACCCTATGGAGCAAAATTCTGTTCTGACACACATGGGGTCACCATGAGTTGGAACTGACTGGGTGACAATTGGTGTGGTGGCATGTACTAAATACACAGTGAATTATTTAAGCACTTTTCAAGAATATAAAGATTATATATTTATCAGTGAATCATAGCATCTTTGTTGCTCATAAATCCAAACATCAAAATCAACATCATTGTATTTGATTATGTTGTTGTTGTTAGGTGCTGTCGAGCCAGTTCCGACTCATAGCAACCCCATGTATAACAGGTTAGTTAATTATAGTTCCTCAAATACTGTAACATATTTAAAAACTTAAGGAAATAATAACATCTCCAACTGGTAGACTTCGTCCTGGAGCTTACATTAACAGGGATAACTAACATCCATAGTCTATCAGCTATGAGGAGGGAGCGTGGTTATTTAACTGGAATGAATTACGAAGCTGGTGGGTCATCTCTCAAAGGTGGAACTGACCACACGGGGAAACAGATGGCAAAAAGCAGATGAGTCATTGCAAACCTGTGACTCTGCTTGAAAATAAAACTGAGGTTTCATCTACTCATAGTATGACTGCATTCCTACACAAGACTTTTTTTTTTTAAGAAAATTTCTTCACATCAAAGATTCATTCAAGCATGAGTAAGTCCACCAAGGTGAAAGATGGGCTTAACATTCTCCGTAAAGATCTTCCATGTTGGTCAGTTTTCTGGATGCAAACCTCTTGCGATCTGTTCTTTAACTCACAACCAGGGTGGCTCCTTAAAAATCAGAAACTCGGAAGTATATGTACCTAAACCTGAATTTCTCTTACAAAAAAGGAGAAAAGAATAGAAGAAAGGGAAACTTTGTTTAGTGTTCAGGATTTTTTGTTTCCTTCAGATGACTTTTCATCAAAATGATTTTCCCAAATAAACGTTGCACAGATTATCTTACTATTGATTGCTAGCTACTTTTGCTACCTTTGTTCTTCCTTTACTTTATAACATTGCATGGATGTTGGAAATGTCATATAAAGTTCAAAGGCTTATTTTATTATTTCTTTACAACATCTCACCAGCCGAGCAAAACTTGACGAGTCATGCTATTACTTTCCTATGCATTTGTACTCACCATGAGGAAATACCCAATAAGCAGAACAGGCATTAAGAGGATGATGAGTAGGTAATCAAAGAAGGTAAATCTCTTCTTCACAGCATAATGCAAGCAGGTTCTCTCTTTCTAAGAATTTAAAAAAAAAAAAAAAGATTTTTTTTTTTTTAAATATCACTTCAACTTTCATATTTTCAGATTATCATATCAAAACGTTCAACTGGTGCTTTTTATTTGTATGGTATCCATGGGATTTTCACTAGCACCTCTTTCTGCGGGGCATGTCTGATCAATAAACTCAGTTTTTCCATTGCCCAGGATATTGAACACAGGCCTGTTTTAACAAAAGCTGTGGAAGAACTATAGAAAGACTGTAGAGGTGAAATATACATTTTACAAATCATCTAAAGATGGATTCTCATAATGATTTTACTTTTTGGAAAAAAAATACACTGAGATATAAACATAGCATTGAATTTAGTATTAAAAGCTATAGTTATCCCTTAATCATCTATGGTGTACAGATTATCCATTTTGTGGTTTGTGCATAGGAAAATCTTCACCATATGGCAAATTTTCCATGTTCCTGTATGCATACTGACAGTGCTAGAAGAACGCAAATAACTCAATTTAACCCTTCAAATGTGTGAACATTTATCAGGTCATGTATTTAAGCTTCTAGGAATTACAGGGGATGTGAAGCCGCAGTGCCTCATAATCAACGGTAGAGAGAAACACTCACAAATGAGTATAATGCAAAACAGTCTGTGATAATTGGATTACCAATCACATCAATGAGCTGAGAGGGAGAGAGAAAAGAGAGGTTAGTTCCACTTGGGGGAAGGCACAGTTCTGAAATAAGAACACATCTTGTTTTTCTAAATATCAAAGTATATACGTCTCCTGTAAAAAGTTTAGGAACCAGGGAGGTGCATAAAGATAGGCTTTAAAATCACCCATTATCCAACGGCCCAGAGTTAATTGTTGACATTTTGGTGCATTCTCTTCCAGTCTTTTAAAATGCATATTTGTGAGATTTAAAAAATGTAGGATCAAATTGCATGTTCAAAAATCATGTCTTGCTTTTCTGCGTTTAATATTCAAAATATGTGCATTGTTTGTGCCATTTAATACGTTTGAACATGGCTGCATGGCTTTTTATTGAATGGAGCTACTTTATTTAGCCAAACACTACCTGTTGTACATTTCAAGTCTTTAACTTTTCATTCTTATAAATAATATTGCCTGAACATCCTCATTCATAAAGCTTTGTCAACATTTCTAAATTTGTTGTGCATAAATTTCTAAAAATAGATTTCCTGGCCTAAAAGGTATTAATACTTTTCATAAGGTAGTGTCAAATCATGCTCCAACAAGATAATGATAATAGTTTACACTTCCTCATCAAGACTTGACTTTCTTTTTTAATCCTGATCAATTTGACAGCCTACATATATATGTGTGTATATATATCTCTTTTTAAAAATTAATTTAATTTGCTTTTTATTGAATCAGGGTTGTTTATTGGGCACACTCATCTGAATCACCAACAGAGATTTTAGTTTGTTTTTAAGATACTTGTTGATTTAGTACTTCTGAAAATAATTCATAAACATTAATCTAAGAAAAGAGAAAGCACTGGTTCAGCTTATTAACATACAAAGATTAGTTGTGGGAAAAATGGAAAAGATTACCTAAACATTAAAAAAACAGAAACTGCGTACCAAAAACAGTTTAATCTAGAAGTACCCACTGAAGTTCTTCCCATGATTTTAATGATACCAGAGGACTCCAGCTGGCTGGCTCAGGGCTCTCCTCTGCAAAAGACATAAGGCACCTCCACAGCTTGGTCCCTGTGTTGTCAAACTTCTCCCTCCCTCAGTTTTTTAATGAGCAAGTCTCTCAAAAGAGGATATGAACTATCGCACAGACATCTGTCTTCCAGCACCACCTCTCACCGTAATTCTACACACCTGGTTTCACTGCTGTGTTCAAAAACATCCTGTCATACTCTATTAAGCTGCTTATCTGTTAGCTACAGCATAAGCATGACTTGCTTTTAAAACAAAAACTAGTCAGCACATTGTCAAGAGAGTCCAGTAGTGATCAATTTTCTGATAACATATTATTACATCAAATTAGCTGGCATTTAAATTGACCGGGGAGTCCCTGGGTAGTCCAAGCAGTTAAATCCAAAAAGGTGGAGGTTCCAGTCCACCTGGAGGTGCCTTAGAAGAAAGGTCTGGTAATCTACTTCCAAAAAAAATCAGCCATTGATTGTTCTACTCTGACACACATGGGGTTGCCATAAGTTGGAACTGACTTGCCAGCAAGTAGTTAAACTGACTTAGGAGGGACGTGTGGGGCTCCTATAGAACTTTTTTTCTCATTAAAAGATGAGTGGGTCCAGGGAATTCATTATTATTACAAAAAATGATTTTAATATTTAGTCTAATTTAAATTTGAATATTGCCTTTACTATGATGCACACACTCGATGCTCAGAAGGCATTCCGGAAGGGTGTTCATAGCCACGCGCACACATTCTTCTCTTTCTTGCACCCGAAGGCTCCAATGCAGTTAATGTCACATCTTTAAACACATTCTTTATGCTTTTCTGTGTGACTTGAAGTAGTCTCTGGTTGATGACCTAGCTTGACCTTAGCAAATTTCTTAATCGTAGACAGGCCATCTTGATATTAGCATATTTTAACAATAGCAATTAATTTTAAATTACCCACTTTTCCACCACATTTTCAAATAAGAATGAAAAACAGGCAAAAAATATATCCATGTGTAGAGAGCTAAGGGGTCCTCATCTGTCATGATACTCTCATGCTGCAGTATCTAACAGCCCTGTTCCCCCCATCATACTAAGGCTGCACATTTAACAAATAATCAGATGCAATCAATTTGCAGTGGCCAATATCGAAAGGCATGTCTAACGGCATCCTCACCCACAATGTACCTAATTGCTTGTCTTAAATACTTTAAATTAACTTTAAATATGTCAAGTTAATTGTTGAACTCAATTTTCCACTGAGCTATTGATAGGCATCTGTGGTGCTTTCTAAAAATATAGGTTGCTAGACCCCTTGCACATCTGCTGAATCAAATCTCTGTTGGTAAGGCCTAGGCCTTTAAATTTTATAAAATTTCTTCAGAGGATGCCGATGTTCAGCCAGAATTGAAAGTCACTACTTTCATTACTAATGAGATTAAATTGTCTTGTTGTTTTTTGTTTCCTTTTAATTTGGCCATTTGAAGGGAAATAGCCTAATAATATCAGACAAAAAGAAAAACAGCCTATGGATTAACACAATTCTATGGATTGAATTGTGTCCCTCAAAAATATGTGTTGTAAATCTTAACTTCTATGCCTGTGGTTATAATCCCTTTGTTACATTAATGAGACAGGATTAGTGTAGGGTGTGTTTTAAATCAATCTTTCTTGAGATATAAAAGAGATTAAACAAGCAAGAAGTAAACAGAGATCGGGGAAGAGAGAAGCCAAGTCACAGAAGGTTGTCCAAGAAACTCGGAAGAGACAAGAACCTTCCTCCAGAGCCAACAGAGAGGAAGCCTCCCCTAGAGTTGGCACCCTGAATTCGGACTTCTACCCCCCTAAACTGTGAGAAAATAACTTTCTGTTTGTTAAAGCCATTCACTTGTGATATTTCTGTTACAACAGCACTAGATAACTAAGACACACATGACACAAATTAATGTGGTTTCTGCTTTACTTTTTTGATTAGCAGAAATAAAATAGTTGATTATATATTCTATTCAATAATATTGCCTAAGTGTGATCCAGGAACACCTGCACTGCAGTCAGCTAAGGCGCTTGTTAAAAATACAGATTCTCCAGAGGCTTCTGGGCCACACTGAAGACAGAGCCACTGCTCCGCGGCCAGCTGTGCTTACAAAGCTCTGGTGCCAGAGGGAGAAACCTGAAGTCCTTTAATAAGACTCTGGGGTTCTTCTAGAACCTCTTTTAAAGCAATTATTTCTTAACCTTTTCAAAATATCCCTATCCCAATAAGATGGAAATAGAGCACTTCATCCAAACTCAAATTGTCTAGAACTCCTCACAATAAGAAAACGGAGAAGGTTTCAGCTTGGAAGGAAGAATCTGTAACTGCTTTTTTTCTGGAAGAATGCTTTTCCTGCTCTTTACATCCCCTTCTGCTTCCTGGACCTCCATGGAAATAGCTTAATAACCCTAAGCCTGGTTTTGTTTCCTCAGCTGGGAAAAAAGGCCTAAACTTCTTGAGCCTCTGTGGTAATACTGACAATTTGACCAGCTCTTCACTAACATCCTTTTCATCCCTGACATTCTAGAAATTGCTGCATTCTTTTATTCTATAAGCAAACTGTATGATTAATAATTTATCTTTCTGGAGATCAGGACCTCAACATAATAAAAATCTACTGAAATAGCACCATAAGGTCAATATTTCTTTTCCAGGAAATCCTTCCAATTATTTGTACAGTAGTAAGGGGGTGGGGAGAAGAATGAGAAGAACGGAAGAAACTCTACCCTGCCGAAAGAGTGAACTATTCCCTTCCGGAGTATAAGGACATAATTGACCAAAAAATATGCCTGCTGATTGAACTGTGTTGTACATTGCTTTTTAGCCTAATAAAATGTTCTCTGTGTGTGTCCAATCTCTCTAAAGTAAGGCAGACAAAAAAAATATACTGTTGCAATTAGAAGCTACCAGCCATGAGAAAATTACATTCACACTGTCATTGATGCGCGGAGAAAGGAATTACTGCGGTCAATTCCTCACTCCACTCAAGTGTCATGTCCCCACCTGGTTTTTGAGATTCACATTAGCATTTCTTCTTAAAAGGAAGGAAACAATTTTCAGGTGCCCACGCCTGCAAGCGCAGATCAGGGGAGTGTCTCCATTAAAGCCATCTTGAATGTTAATATAGTCGTTGTCTTCTCTCGCCCACCGCAACACTTGACCAAAGTCATTCTGATAGGCCGCCTGGCAGATGGGCTGAGTAGAGAAAAACAAATGTAGGTTTTGAAATATATGCATAATTAAAGCACACACACACACACACACAAAAAAAAAAACCATCAGAAGTTAAGTGTTTCCAAGTTGTTATATATTGCTTTGATGGTTAGATTTTTGATCATCCTTATACCTGGGCTTAAGTCTAGGACAAGCATAGCTCACGAGGTCTAGAAGCCTCTTAAACTTTTCTAAATGGCTTGGCATACAGAAATATTTGTTGAATGAATGAGTGACTAAATGGATGAAATATTGCAAAATTTACTCAATAAGGAAATGGGTGTTATGCTCATAGATAGATGGGCTTGTCAGAATAGCAGAATTTTGCTGAAGATAAAATAGGCATATTAGGAGAAGTTTATGGCAGGCCTTAAAGTTTCAAGTCAAAACACAAGTCATCAAATCTTTTAACATGGTATCTTCTGAAGCAAAAACTTTAGCTTTGATGTCAGCTGTCACCATCCAGAATAGTCTGCCAGTGCTTTCAATGTCTGAATCATCCATTGAAATGTCTTTATAGTACTTGTCACTTGAATTACAAAAGACTTATTTCCATTATTCTCTTTATCCATATAACACTCTACACTCTTGTAAAAGAAGATGCTCAAAAATGGTGGTTCTTAATCCTGGCTGCATATTAAAATCACTCAGAGAGCTTTGAAAACTACCAGTGTCTAGACACCACCCCAGAGTTAAGTAAATCAGAATCTCCCCAAATGAAGTAGCAAAGTCACTGTTCTAAAAAAAATCACATAGACCAAGTCATCACTGAGCCTGAGATGACTGCCTTGGAGCTCTCACAGATGACTGAGAGGCACAATGCTACCCTCTCACATTATCTGCAACCCAGCAAGGGGGTGTCCTATCAGCACATCGATTCCCTCAGTTTCCTCTTCTGTAAAACAGGAGAGTTGTTATGCTGATTCTATAAATATTTAATAAGCACATATTGGGTTCCAGGCCCTGAGCCAGGAATTGAGGGAGAGGGGTGAACAAGACCTGCATAGCCCCTGTCCTCAAAGAACTCAACACAGAGGGAAGGACAGGTTTTAGACAAACGATACACAAAGAAGTTATATAATTAGCTGCAATCCATTAGGTGTTGTTTATAAAAAGCATTATAAAAACTTTGCAGAGTCCTATGAGAGAGTAATAGCAAAGCCTTGGCTAGCCTCATCTTGCCCACTTTCCCCCCTCTGCTCCAGCCCTTCTGGACTTCTCTCCTTTCTTCAAATACTCACAAGTTTACTCTCTTCCATCTGGACCTCTCCCATTACTGTCCCTCCACACAAAATGATTTTCCTCTTTCTCATACCTCAACAAGTCTTATTCATCCCTCGGGCCAGAATTTAATTTTCACTTTATCCATGAAGTTCATCCTAACTCCTAATACTCAGTATTTCTCCTTCACAGAAACTTGCAGAACTGAAATTGTTTTCTTAATTATTTATGATCATTTGTTCCAGGCTAACCTGTATCAGGAGGGGTTTGAGGCAGCATTGAGTGAGGGAGGTATTGAATTTCAGATGATAAACTCCTTGTGGGCAGAGGCCACATCCATTTGATTCATCACTATATCCCCAGTAGATAACACAGCACTGGGCAGGCACATGGTAGGCAAACACTAAATATTTTTAGACTGATTTAACTAGACCATGTAGAAAAAACACTTAAATGGCATATGGATGGTGCTAGATTTATGGAAGCTACTATTATTGCTTATTGCATCATTTTTTGATTTATAATCCTGTCAGACCTCTCCTGTGTGCCAGCCACAGGTGCAAGGGGGAAAAAAGTATATAAAATATGGGACTTCCGGCAACACGGCACTCTAGGCAGAAGCACCACACCGTCCCTCCACAGCAAAGATCAGAAAAACTAAGCCAAACAGAGAAAACAGCAATCCCGAAACCCTACACATCAAATGAAGAGATAAAGAACTCAGCCAAGCACCAAATAGAGTAAGAAACTGACAGAGAACAGAGAGCGAGGAGACACACATGGAGAGGTCCCCTATCAGCTAATGCAGCATGGATCCAACATCTTGGACTCCTATCAGAGACCAGCAAATGAGGGTACAAGAAAACAGCTTCAAGGAGCTTCCAGCAGGAGACAGAACAACCAGTAACTGGCGATATATGCTTTCCCAACCCCCACCCTTCTTCACCCCCACTTGGCCTCCCCTGCTTCCCACGGCTACAGTCTCTTGGCCGGGAAGCACTGGCTGCTTGGATTCCACCCTCCCGCACTGGCCAACTCCGTGAGGGCCATTTGCTGGCTGCTGGTGCTGCTTTTTTCTGCTTCTTTTGATTTCTTCCTTACCTCTCACCACCTCCCCCTCCTTTTGCTCAAATATCTGGCTCCGTGCGCAATCTTTGCTTCTTCCTGAGGGGCTGTGGAGCTCCATTTGAGAGTGGAACTGCTTCCCAGTCCGCGCCGCCATGCTAGTGGGATCCCGAGGCTTCTTTGTTTGTTCTCAATTATTTGTTTGTTTTCTTTTTCTTTTCTCGAGTTGGGAGCCCGCTCTGGCCGGGCAGTGCTGTGCGGCTTTGGACCTATCCCCTCAGCTTGTGCAGACACACAGAGGGATCCCTGAGAGCATTTCTTTTCTCGTGGGTTTTTTTTTTTTCCTGTCTTTTGGGGGGTTTTTCTTGTTCTTTTTTTTTTAAAATTTGTTTTCTTTTCTTTTCCCTCTTTTTCCCTTATTGTCTTCTTTTATTACTCAGTTTCTCATCTCTCTATACCTTCCTTCTCTTCCTGTCTCCAGGATATCTGGCACTGAATACCTCTATGCCTCCTAGCCAGGCTGTACTTCAACACCTGGGAACAACTTCCCCAGACCTTGTAGCCACACCGGTGGGATCCCTGAGAGCTCTGCTGTTCTTTTTTCTTTCTAATTTTTATTTATTCATTCTTTTCTTTTTTTTCTTCTTTTTCCCCTTTTTGTTTCTCTCCATTTAATAGTCTCTCATCTCTCCACTCCAACAGCAAGCTCCCCTGGCACTCTTTTTTGTTTGTATGTTTTTGGCTCCTGTTCCTCTCTCCTCTCTCCCATACCCATCTTAGCTCCACACATCACAATCTCCCCCCTCCATCCTGCCTATCTGCACCATCACTTAACATCATACCATCAAGCAGCACAGGCACGCCCTACCGCAACCTGCCCTGCACTGATTACCAACCCAACCTGGTGGCTGTAGTAAGTGCCACAAACAACCCATCCCAGCAACTCCTCTTCAGCTAGACC